GACCAACCATGAATTACAGTAAAAAAAAATTCAAAGATCAAATTATCAATAAGATAGATAATCCTCTCGTTTGATGCACTCTACTTTTTTCCTCTTTTAAAAAAAAAAAAAATTTATAATATTCCGAGGTAAAAACTTCCAAAAAAGATTTCTCTTTTTATTCACACAATCGATTTTGACAATAATTAACTATAAAAAATAAAGAAGGGAGATCCAATTTATTTCAAATCCTAAAAGGCATACATTTACTGCGGACCGCTGCATATCTCGTTATTGACAGACCAATAGTTATTTATTTAAAAAATAAAAAATCGTCACGTCTCCCAAAAGATTCTTGTAATTGCTGATTATATATATGTAGCTGGTGTATAATGTCTTCGAGAGGTTATCTTGAAAATTCAGGGGGTCATGAAAGAGTTTTGATTTTCTTGTTTGAACATCCATATCCAACAATGATAGTAATACAAAAAAAAAAAAAATTTGCTTTCTTCATCAGCATTATCGTCAAGCAACTTTTCAGTAAAGGTTCGAACGTTCACGCCATTTCTTAATAGAATTTTTTTTATTTTTTTTTTTTTGTATACATTACGACTGAAATATGAAGCTTCAACATGCTTACCACGCGCATTATAAATTGCGTTTGAATGGAAATTTCAAAAAAAAATCAGAAAATAATGCTGTCGATATTTATTGATAAAATAAAATGGAAAAAAACATTTTGGTTTAGGGTAATCAATTTAGATCCTTCCTAAATTCTTTTTTCCTTCACAAAACGAGATACATCGGATCTTATAACAAAGAACATTTGAATCTGGACTTGCGTGAAATGTGGACTCAAAGTCTTAAATAACGAATCACAAGTAAAAATAAACACGATACGATGATTTATCATCCCAAATATCTCAGTTAGAAAGTCTAGAGGTGAAAGATTTTGCCAAGACATTTCATTTTGTGAGAGGCAATGTTTTGGGAAAGTTTGCCTAAGAAAGGTGTCAACAAATAAATAAATAATGTTTTTTATTAGCTTTATACTTTTTAACCGTATGATTTTACTTTGTGATTTAGCAAACGCGCGATTCGTATCGTTATGAATAAAGTTTATTAATTTATTTAACGTGACGATTTAACTATTTTCTTTATTGTGAAAATTTATGGAATGTTTCAAAAGTATCACTGCAAAACCTATAGCCATTTACAGGAATCTTTTATCGAATTTCTTTATAAATATGTATTTATTGTACATATATATGATTTTGTTCATAGTATTGGGGCATCATTATAGAAATGTCAATAACAATACTAACAACTATTGTGCAGAAGAGCATTTATCATTTCCAGTTATTTGTTTAAATCTCTTATAACCGGTTCAATCCGAAAAAATTGTACGTTTAAAAAATAAAAGAAAAAAAATAACTCCTATAAATTTTAGTTTATGCATTATTTTCAATTTTTATAAAAGGTAAAGTAATCGATAATGTTGAAATAAGGATGGATAGTTTGTAAGGAATTTTTAGATTTTTTGTGTTAACTATAAAGAATTTGCGTACAGCATTAAATTATCAACAAGAAAAAATAAAAATAGCCAAATTTCTTCTTAATGACAAATTTTTTAGCAAGAAAGTTAATGCAGAACAACGTGTTGACGTCAAGTTTAAAACATTTTGACATATTAAGCATTCTTTGTTAATTATCATTTTCCTCATCATACGCTTCGTAGACAACCCATTAAGCGAAATTTGAATTAAAGAGAACTTATAAAAGTTTGATTTTTTACAGCTATAATCATGGTATAAATGTTTTACTTTCATGACCTGAAGGTATTTTCGTTAAATTTAAATCCATAATAGTTATCTTTCAAAAATTTTAAAACATTAAAATATTTTCGCGACGTCGATTTGCAACTTAAGAAAGTGTAAATATTTTCTTTTTTTTATTGAAGTTCGCATGGAATATATATATATATATATTTTCCTAATGTTTTGACAAGAATCGCCCGAAAAGTACTAAACTTTAGAATTAATCATGCGAAAATGTTGGGAAATGTTGAGAAATGATTTTTAAATCATATCTTTATTCAAAATAAATTATACAAGAAAGAGAATCATATAAAATTAAAAATTATTGCAACCATGTAATGCGCGCATTTTCTTGTACACGAGTGTAATGATAAACTTTTTTAAAAATTTACAATGGTGGTAAAGTATGCAACGACCTCTCCCTAAAAATTTTCAATAATTTCAATGCACCACTGTACACAGGAAAAAAAAAATAAAAAAGGAAACGTTAATTAATCTTTGATATTTCTTAATTCGATCAAGTTCCAAAACAAAATTATTATACCTCATCACTATCCTCAAGTTTTTTATCATGAGAAATTACTTCTTGGAAAGTCTCATTATAAATAGTAATTTGATATTCATGACTACGCAAGAAAGTATTATCTTTTGCATTACGAAGATTAACGATATCTCCAGATCTTACATAAGAGGAGTCATATTTTGTATAATTAATTCTTTGAAACATCCAGTGGTAATTGAATTGTAAAGTTCTTGAAGGAGTTGAACAATACACTACAAAAAGAGAACAGAGGAATATATAAAAAAAAAATTCGGGTTGATAAAAATTTTGAATCTTAAATGCTAACCTTCGACGTGATCAGCAAAATCGCCGTCTATATAATCATTATATAAAGAGTGTTCATTAAAAGCAGATTCACGCCCAATGAGAGTATCTGTAGATTTATGTTGTAATGAAAACATATCATTATAGGAAATTTGATCCCGGGAAGCTTTAATGACCCATAATGCATCTGAATCTGGTAGCGTTTGACCCGCAAATATCTAATCACAATCAACGAAAAGTTAAATCGAATAAGAAAAAGGTATATATTATTTTTTTCAAGAATTACTTACTATTTGTTTTCCACTTCCAGTTTGATGATATTTTGTAGTCGAAGAAAGATATTTTCCAGTTTTAACATGTTTAATGGCAACACAAGAACCATTTCTAATTAGGTTCGATTCTTCTTGAACAATATCTTCAAACATTTTAATTAAATCATCCAAAGAATTAATATTGTTCATCTTTCTATTAATAAAAGTATTTCTAAAAAAGTCATTAGGTAAAGCATGAAAGAGATATTTTTTTTGTTCTTCCAAGTCAATAATTTCAGCATCAAAGCAAAGTGCACGAAATTCAGCAATAAATTTCGCGGTATTACCACCTTCACGTTCCGTAATATATTTTAAAAGGTTTAATTTCCTTTGAGAAGAATTTTTAAATACAGTGAATGAAATATTTGATTTTAATGCTTCTATAAGATCATCTAAAGATTTGATCTTTTCAGGATTCTTAATTGGAACATCAACCATTCCAATACAAAATTCCAAAATTTCTTTTTCACTTTTTATTTGTTTAAGGTAACAAAATGAACGAATTTGTTTAATCCACATCTGTGGATGAATAGTTCCATTAAATCTTGAAGGTTCCATTATAGCAAAAAACAAAAGAAAAAAAAAAAAAAAAATTAAATTAAATACGACAGAAACAAAGAAAATGGAAAGAGAATTTTGGTTTTTTTTTTAAAAAAAAAGAAAATTTATAGCTTAATTATTGTTCGTTGATCATTTCATGTGAGCATAAATCGCGGGATAGTATATCACTAAATTTACTTAATTTTCATGTGTACGGATTTAAATCTACATTCTGCATATACTTTTATAATGATTATTCTGATGTTGGAATAGGGTAATTGTTTGGCTTATTTTTTAAAACACGGGAAAAAACGGGTTTAAAATGCCAAATTGATAAGATTAATTGCTAGAAAACTACTTTAATTGGTATCTGCATTAGCCCAATGTATATCATATTTGGTTTCCTAGTTTTATTAGTTTTATGATGATTTAGTGTGTGAAGAAGATTATGCAAGTGATAATCAATAAAAATGAGATGATTTCTGATATAGTTAAGGCATATAATAAGTAAAATAAAAAGAGAAAATTCATCTGTGTTGATTTGATGATTCACTTTTGTAATTTAAAGTTTATTTTAAATTAGAAATCATCCTGTGCAAATAAATCTCTATCTTTGGTTTTTCGTGGGTTTTAACTTTGAGCATAACTGGCAAGAAAACAACCAATGACGAACTTAAACTACCCGATGACCCAGACGAACAACAAAGAACGATGAGCCAAAAATCAATTGCGATGTTTCGATTAATTATTAATTATATATTGTATATATATCCACCTCACTTCAAAGCTTAATAGCATAACGAAAAGAATTTTTACGCGTAAATTTTGCTTTTCTATAAATGTTTATATTCCAAATAGTCGAATTCATCAGCTTGACCAATACTAAAACTTACCTAATACCAACAAGCAAAAGATCAAATATATATTCTGTCTCTTTGTCCTGCCGGAATGAAAATTAGACAAAAATGATTAGAAACATTTATTCTTCATTGGATCCATCATTTACATTAACGAATAGTTCAACCGCGGATTCATGATTTTGTGAGGCAATATTACAACGAACTTAAAGGATGTTTGTACATTGCGACTATTTTTAATCTTAATCTTTAGAACGCTGGATGCTAAACTTAAATTATAAATGAATAATGATCTACCTGAATTTGGAATTCTAATTGGATAACCGGGACCGTTAAATAGAAAAAAAAAATTGATGTTAAATATTTAAAATCCTTAATTAATATATACCTGTATATGTAGTTGCTATGTTTGATTTGGGTATCTTTAATATGATTTCGACGGTACCGTCGAAGCCTAAGGGTCTTGTCTCTCTGATTCAAATATACCTGATGAACAACCCATCATGGAACAACCTTATTTAAAATAAATTATCAACAGAAAAGTTTAAAATTAGTAACTAAGATATGGTAAAAAATATACGATTCATACCACATCTATTAAAGCTCTCGTCGGTAATAAGTTTGGTTCTTTAATTGAAACCAATTTAATAAAGCACAAACCAATAGTCTTATGACGTTGATTTCTATCATTTGGACCAAGGTTTGCGAAGTTGGATTATCACCCACCAACCTTTTTTCAGAAAAGGATTTACCCAATAAAACCACCCTTAGTACGTATTCTTTTAGTAAGATCAATTCCATACAAAACAGGAAACTTCTTTTTTTCTTTAAGCCAATCAGATAAAGAAAGTTAGTTTGAAATTCACATTCTCCTGAGCACACTATTTTTGCTCCCAAGTTGTTACAATTATACCAAGATTGCTATTGTATTACTTTTAATAGGCTGATGATGTAACTGGTGGCGTTGGTGATCTTGGTGATAATTCTACTTCTGAATAACGAAAAAGTTTTCTTTGGAAAGATAGTAATATCTAAATATCTTTTTAAACAATTTATTATTTATAATTGATCAAAAACCAAGTTCAAAGAAGTAATGAAAAGTTCAAGAAAAAAACTAAAAAAAAAGTATAGTAATAATTTTTAAATGTCATGTGTTACAAGACCTGCTCCTGAAAATTACCTATTTCACATTCCCTTTTCCCGTTGAAGTTGGTTCGGAAGAAGTTAGGATGGGCTTAGAGGTTAGCCTTATTTTGAAAATTTTCATGATTTCCAGTGGTCCCGACACACCTACATACTTCTAGCCCGACCGACTTGGATAGTTTTTTCGACATATTAATTTGTTTACTAACTTTGTAAGCAATATCGCAACCGTCGCAAAGATGTTGAAGATAAAATAGATTACAAATTAGCCGAAGTTCAATTTCTTACGAGATAATAAAAAAAAATTTCTTGAAAAATTTCATGGAAGATAATCAACCCCAAAAAGTAGTTCTTATGGGTAAATTTACTTTCAATAATATTTTTTGATATATATATAAAGATTGTTATAAGAAGATGAAGGATGATATCATATATATAAAAAAAAATCAATATTAAGGTAAAAAATAAATTTTCAATGATATCACAACCCAATATACTTTATTTATCAAAAAAAGAAAACGAAATCATATCAAAAAAAAAGCAATAAATAAAAAAAAATAAACTTAATATATTTTAGAATCAATATAATTTCTTAAATCAAAATTTATTATATTACCAAATTTTTTATTTATAAAATCAAATAACATTTCTTTAAATTTTATATAATTATTAGTTATTTTAATTGTAATATATATTAATTTTAAACTTTATAATTAATAATTAATAATTGTTACTAAAATTTTACTTTAAAATTAAGAATTATAAATATTTGAATTAATAATTTTATTATTTTCTTTATTGTATATATAAAAAAACATTATATTATTTTTATTATATTTTTTTTTTACTTAACAAAATATTTATAATTAAAACAAAAACTTTATTATTATACTTTTATAAATTTATATAAATATATTAAATAAATATTATAAAAATAGATTTAATTATATTAATTAAAAATTTCAAATCAAAAAAAAAATATATTTTATTTATTTTATTAAATTATTTATATATATTACTAAAAATAATAATATAAATAAATATTTTGTAGTAAATAAAAAAGATTCAAAAATTATATTAAATTTGAAATTTTTTTACTAAAGAAATCATATTATTATATAAAATGATATAGATAATCTAAAATAATATAGATGATAAAGATTAACAAAATATCATATATGTTATATATATTTTCTATAATATATATTTCTTATATTTTTTTATAACTATTTGTATTTTATATATCTTATATTTTATTATATTATTATATTTTTTATATTATTTATTATTATTTATATCTAGTGTGTAAAATTCATGTGCACAATGTGCACATGTGCACATTAAATTTTTATGTGCACATATTACATAGCATAAAATGTACACAAATAATTACTAAAAATAGATAAATTATATATAAAAATGGATAAATTATTTATAAAAATTTTTTTTTTTTTTTT